TTTGATAGTTTATTCATGTCTACTATCCAATGTGAGTCTTGTGCTTATATGATTACCTTGAATGTGATTTGGAACACATTCCTAAATCTCATTCATACTTTGGCCAAAGATTCAAAATCATATCATAGAGTATTCTCCCTCAAACAGTTTGAAGGTTAGAGATCCCTTGTTGCGCATTCACTTGCCTCCATGGCTAAGTGGCTTAACCCCAACGATGCCTTGGACACCCTCCTGATGGAGTGACTTTGACATAATCAAAGATTAAGGACCTAACCACAAGACAACTGTGATGCCTCAGGTCAAAAGACTAATTTGCATTATCCCAACCATGAGTTCTCATGTGACATGAATATGAGAACTCTTCGTTGATCGTGTTCAGTGAACTCATTCTCTATTGAGCACCTACGTACTTGTCTTGATGTCACACACACCAATGACTCGAGACTAGTCACTCTCCCTGAGAGAAGACATAGCACGTACTGATCTTAACGGACTGTTAATGCCCAATTGACAATCCTATGATCAGGAACGTTTAGGATGTGTCAACGAAAGAATGGTCTCATGAATCTAACTTTTTTAGATCGCATTCTTCCAATCACATATTCCTTGGACTTATCGTTTAAGCATATAACATTTATATGAGACGGCTCAAACAATAATGTTTGCCCTTAATATTAAACTAGATTAGTTTAACATGTGAAATGTCCATAAAGTATCATCATATGATTGGTTTTAGGGCACATTTCCAACACCCCCTTATGTTTTTTGACATCCTGAATTTGTTTATGACGTTCGTTTTATGAAATTCAATAGTTATGGTAGATCTTTATTAATTGGACCCTTTATGTGCTTAGGTGCGATTATTAGCAGCGTTTTCGTCCCTCCTATTTCACACAGCTCTTGACGACAAAGTATCTTTGAGTGGACCCCTTCCAAAATGCATGTTTTAATTGCTAGAAATGCATACATGAAAAGCATGATTTAATGGTTACGTTTTATGAAACGTTTATGAGTAAATTGGATTTACGTTTATTGATATTTCACGCTTTGTGAATTATCATGCTTTATCGACTTTACGTTCTTCGTGGTATATATGATTGATGACTATATACTATGAACATGATTTATGATATGATGTTTGAGTTACTGAGCTCTGTTGAGATATATATACTTATACTTTGGAAATATTATGTTCAATGAGTTTTGTGCTTATCTAGTGGTCACTATATGCCTACGGGCAAATGTTATCTATATATGGCTTCGGTCGGGTAATTTAGGGGCCTACGGGTCGAATGATATCTATATATGGCTTCGATTGGGTGATGTAAGGGCCTATGGGTTGAATGAAGGCCTTCAGGTGAATGAAGAGTTTTATATGCCTACGGGCGATACTGATACCACTATTTAACACACTATTTATGATATATATTTTATGAAGGTTTTATGACATGTTAGGGTTCTCGGAAAACCTATTACATATTATACTATTGAGTTTTCATAAATTTTGGGGGTCAGTACGTTGTTGAATAACTGTTTTAGTATTACTTATATATCAACTTAGTCCACTCATGTTTTGTTTTGCACCCTTCTCAGGACTTAGAATCCCGGCGTCAAGGCACTTCTGCATCGGCATCTTCGAGTCCTCTTGGTGTGGGGCCCATCCTTTTGTTCATTCAATTTTATATTATTCCTTTTTAGTGTCTCAGTTTAGTTGTATGCTCTGAACACGTTCCTCAATTGCATATTCACTATAGTTAAATTGATAGCTTTTATTTATGTTCGTTACTTTTCATGCATCCTAATATGGCTTCATCACCTTCTAGTGTCAGCTAGCACGTGCCTATTCTGGTGTTTGGTCAATATCAGGGTCGGGCGTGTCAATGGATATGCATGAAGCAGCCTTTCTATATATTATATGTGCTCACAGATGGCTCGAGAGCACCTAGTAATAAGATTGATGTATATTTACAACCATTGATTGAGGAGTTAAAAGGAATTGTGGCATGAAAGTGTACATACTTATGATGCCTTGAGCAATTAGATGTTCTAACTACATGCTGCAATGTTTTGGACTTTTGTGACTTTCCTACATATGGAAATTTATCGGATTGGAGCACTAAAGGTGGGAAAGCATGTCCTTCTTGCTAGACCTGACATTTTGGACTCGACCCGTTAATATTAGTATTTGGGTGGATGCTTAATGGGTAAACCCGTTAACAACCTGTTAAATAATGAGTCACTTTGGGTCAACCCGTTAGACCCGTTAGTTGAGGATGTTTTAGTAATTTCAGTAAAGTCTTAACAACAAAAAATAAACTATGCAAATAATAATAATAATAATAATAGTTGTTAACGGTGACCTGTTAGCTTAATGGGTCGGGTTAGGGTGACCCGTTAAACTTAACGGGATAGGTTTGGGTGACCCGTTAACTTAACGGGTCAGACTGAACCAGACCTAAACGCAACAAATCCGACCCGTTTACAGGTCTACTTCTTGCAATAAGAACACAAGATCTCGTTGGCTGACTAATAGAAGAAATTATTGCTACACAGGTCACCTTAGGTACTTAGCCATAAGTCATAAGTTTCGAAAAGATAAGGCATCTTTTGATGGCACACAAGAATGAGGACTTGCACCACCTAAATTTCTGGTACTGATGTGAAAAGACAGTTACAAAGGATACTCACAGAGTGTAAAAAGGAAGGCATTCGAAAAAGGAAAATAGATGAACTTAAGAATAAAAATGATCGATCATTATGGAAGAATAAAAGTATTTATGTTTTTTAGTTACTGTATTGAGAACATAATTTGGTTCATCATAATCTGGATGTCATGCATATTGAAAAGATTTTTTCTGAAAATATACAGTAGACATTGTTAGGTGTTGCTAAAATGACTAAGGATAATTTGAAATCACAACTTGATTTGCAAGAGCTGAGCATCAAAAAACCATTACACCCCCAAGAACGAGGTAAGAGTAAAGGTTTACCTACCTCCTGCTTATTTTACTACGCATAAAGAAAATAAAGATGTGTTCATAAAAGTATTGAAGGAAGTAAAAATTCTAGACTGTTGAAGCTTCCTACCTATTGCTTTTTTTACTATGAATAAAGAAAATAAAGATGTGTTCCTAAAAGTATTGAAGAAAGTAAAGGTTCTAGACGGCTAAGCTTCAAATATTTCTCGTCGTGTAAACGTAAAGGAGCGTAGTCTTTGGAGTCTTAAAAGCCATGACCACCATATACTAATGCAACAATTACTTCCTGTAGCTGCACATAGAGCTTTGCCTAAAACTGTTGTTGAGGTATTAATCGAGTTGACCTATTTCTTTAGACAACTTTGCTCAAAAGTGAACATGTTATCTGATTTTGAACATGTTCAAGATCAGATTGTCCATGCACTTTGTCATTTGGAGAAGATCTTTCCACTGTCTTTCTTTGATGTAATGGAACAATTGTTTATCCATCTAGCTGAGGAAGCATTAATTGTTGGAGCTATTCAATTTTATGGCTGTATACTATTGAGAGGTTCGTAAATATGCTAATGTAATTTTAATTTCATCTTAATCAAATATGTTTATTTTTTTTTAATATAACTTACCAGATTTTATTTTAATTACATTGTTTTGTAGGTATTTATTAACACTTCAAAATTATGTGTGTAATCATGCGCACCCTGAGGCCTTAATTGCTGAGGGGTACTTAATGGAAGAATGCATGAATTTTTGTGCACGATACTTAAAATGAAGTTAAAACCAAACTTGATGGATTAGTTTGTAATTTACCCGTAATCGGAATTGAATTCCTATTACAGGATACATATTTGTTTATGTAATCTTAGGAAATCAAAATACATGTGAGGTTCACGCGCATTAAGGAATCCAACTCCTAATTTTGGAGGAATTGGACTCCCTACATGAGGGAGGTATTTCAATTCCTTGACACTTGAGGAATCCGGAATGAATTTCTTCTACCAATTATGCCCTCACTTGTTTTTGATTATCCCAACATTGCTCTTCATTTGACACTCATTATACCATCTTTTAATAAATAAATAAAACCTATTTAAATATTTTTATATGAATAAATTTTATTATATAAATTTAATTAAGAATTTAATTTAATTAATTAGTAAGAAAATAATTTATTTATGTAAGGGCAATTTAGTAATCAATCTAGTTTTCATTCCAATTGAAGTGAATTAGTAAACAACTTATATGGACTCAACATCATTCCTACTTCGATTCCAGACAGTTTTAGTAAACAACTTCAACAAGAATCTGATTCTAATTCCACCTCCTTTCAATTCCTCCTCATTCCAATTCCTTCTTAATCCAATTCATCCTCAATTCAATTCATCTTAATTTAATTACGAATTAGTAAACGCCTCCTGAAAGTCGTTGTGAATGAACCTACACCTTAGTCACATGATGCCATTGCCACCACACAAACCCACCAAGACAACCTTTGTAAAAAAGCAAAGGGAAATCTTTCCCTCTCCCACTTGATTTTCCATTGACAATAGGACTTGATTACGGTATATGCATTTATTTAATATATGTGTGTGTGTGTGTATATATATATATATTTATATGTAGGGTAAAAATTATCACATATATATTTACCAAAAAAAAAGAAAAAGTCCCATTTTTCCAATTTAGTTTTAGGTTCGACTCTAAGAGGTGTTGATTTAGGCTAAGCTAACTAATAAGTCAACCTTAATAATTAAGAATATCACTAAATTGTAATACTACTTATATCTTCAATTCATAAAAGACTTGTAGTTAAGTTGGTTAAAAGTATTCTTCTTTGCACCTAATAACCGAAGTTCAAATTTTATGCTTCCCTATATCACTTGTATTAAGAAAAGTTTGGCATCTTGCAATTTATGTCAATATCAAATTCGCACGTTGCCCCAGTTTTACCAAGCTGTCATGCATTATGGTTGTAAGGAACCTGATTTCGTTTTCTTGGCTGAGTGAAAAAGGAGAGGGCATATGTACCTTCATGTTGCTCCAATTGCTTTTAAGTCGATGGGGTAGACTATCTTTATTTGCTTGACCAAGAAAGGACATTAGTATCACCTTATCTCTATGATCAGCAGAGTAATTACCAGCAAGAGAACTGAGTTCATCCATGGCTCTCGTTAGAGCTCGAGAAGTCTCGTCTTCCGATTCTAGTACTTATCACGTGTTCTTGAGTTTTAGAGGCGAAGACACTCGCAAGACTTTTACCGACCACCTCTATGAAGCCTTTGTCAGTGCAGGCCTTCGAACTTTCCGAGATGATGATGAACTTGAGAGAGGGGAAGATATTAAGTCGGAGCTGCCGATAGCAATCCAACACTCTCGAAGTTCAGTCGTAGTGTTTTCGAAAGACTACGCTTCTTCCAAGTGGTGCCTTGACGAGCTTGTGAGGATCCTTGAACGGAAGAAGGCGTCTAAACATGTAGTTCTACCAGTGTTTTATGACATTGATCCATCGGAGGTGAGGAAGCAGACTGGATCATTTGCGAAAGCATTTTCTGGACACCAAAAAAATCGATCTTTGAGCAAGGACAGGGTAAATGGATGGAGGGCAGCACTTGCAGAAGTTGCAGATCTAGCAGGGATGGTCTTACAAAATGAAAATGATGGGTAAACTCCTACCACAACTGGTCTATTTTTATGAAGTTTCAGTAATTAGATTATCTTTTTATTGCTAGCTAGTGGATTAACTTTGTCACTAAATTACTTCTTATATACATTATAATATTGATCATTTGAAGTCATTTCGATTGCAATTTTTTAGGCATGAGGCAAAGTTTATCAAGAAAATTGTTAAAGTGATCGAAGCCAAATTAAGTCGCACGCCATTAAGTGTTGCCCCTTACCTGGTTGGTATCAATTCTCGAGTAGAAGAGATTACTTTATGGTTACAAGATGGATCATCCAATGTTGGCATATTTGTAATTTGTGGTATTGGTGGAATAGGGAAGACAACCATTGCGCAAGTTGTTTACAATTCAAATTTTTCAAGATTTGAAGGAAGAAGTTTCCTTGAAAATATCAGGGAAATTTCTGAAAGACCTAATGGCTTGGTACAAGTTCAAATGCAACTTCTCTATGATATATTGGGTGGGAGAGAAGTGAAGATACATAGTATTAGCGAGGGAATAATTAAGATTAAAGATGTCATTAGCTGTAAAAAAGTTCTTCTCGTTCTTGATGATGTAGATCATACGAGCCAATTAGATGCAATACTTAGAATGAGAGATTGGTTTTATCCAGGAAGTAAAATCATTATAACAACTAGGCGTGCAGGGTTGTTAAAGTCTCAGAAGGCTGTTAAGGTACATAATGTTCAAACTTTAAATCATGTTGAATCATTGGAGCTCTTTAGTTGGCATGCTTTTGGACAAGACCATCCAATTGATGGTTACATCGAACTTTCAGAAAGATTAGTAAGCCATAGCGGTGGACTTCCATTGGCTCTTCAAGTTTTTGGTTCCTCTCTATCGGGGCAAAATTTAGATGTATGGGAAAGTGCATTGAAGAAATTGGAAGCTATTCCAAACAGTGACATCATGAATAAACTCAAATTAAGCTACGAATCCTTACAAGATGACCATGACAAAAATTTATTCCTCCACATTGCATGTTTCTTTATTGGAAAGGATAAGGATGTCATTGTCAAGATACTAGATGGATGCGGCTTCTTTACAATTGTTGGCATTCAAAATCTCATCGACCGATGTTTGGTAGCAGTTGATGAATATAATAAAGTGAAGATGCATCAAATGATTCGGGACATGGGAAGAGAAATTGTTCGCCAAGAATCGAAAGAGCCTGAGAAACGTAGCAGATTATGGAATCATAAGGATTCTCTCAATGTCTTGAGAGAAAAGAATGTAAGAAATTTCCTTTTGTAATTATGGATGATTTTTCCTCCTTTTGTGTTTAAGTGTGTGTTACTAATCCAAATTCTTTTGTTTTTCTTTCTTCTTTTGTATTAGGGTTCAAAAAAAATTGAAGGTCTTGCCCTGAACATGCATCCTGCGGACTGCCCTTCAAGAAAACCGAATATGGTTGTCTTGGAAACCAAGGCATTTAAAAGGATGGTCAAGTTGAGATTCCTCCAGCTTAGTTATGTACAACTTAATGGATGCTATGAAGAATTTCCTAATGGATTGAGATGGTTGCATTGGCTTAAATTCCCCTTAGACTCTATACCCAGCGATCTTCTTTTAGAGAGCATGGTTGTTCTTGAAATGCACTACAGCAGCCTAAGACAAATATGGAAGGGAATAAAGGTATTGAACTTTTGTTTTGTTCTTCTGTTGTAGGGAATCTAGGGATTTATATGCGCTAATATTAACGGGAATTGTTATTAGCACTCCAAACTTTCTATATTTATAATGAAAAACACACTTATGAGGAGTGCAAAATGAGATTTTTGGAGTGCCAAGAACAATTCCCATATTAACTCTTTTTTAACGCCAATTATTAATCCCATGCTTTCTTGCATTTTATCGTTTTACAGTATCTTCCAGCATTAAAGATCCTTGATCTCAGCCATTCCCATGATCTCATTGAAACCGCTGACTTCTCATCGGTCCCCAATCTAGAAAGATTTATTCTTGAAGATTGTGTAAGCTTGGTTTATGTCCATGAATCCATTGGAAATCTAGAGAAGCTTGTTTACTTGAATATGAAAGGTTGCAGAAATATTACAAAGCTTCCAAAGAGCATTTCTATGCTTAAATCACTCGAAACATTTATTGTATCTGGTTGTTCGAGTCTTAAGGAATTTTCCATGGAAATGGGAAAGATGGAATCTCTAAAAGTGTTTCTAGGAGATGAAATTCCAATAAGTAGATTACACATTACCACTTTACCCCGCACTTTAGTGGTTTTAAGTCTAACGGAATGCAATCTTTCTGATGATGCTTTTCCAAGGGATTTTGGTAACTTACCCTCATTGCAGAGTTTGGATCTAAGTAGCAATCCAATTTGTAGCCTACCAGATTGCATCAGAGGCCTCACGAAGCTCAATCACCTTGCATTTTCCCGGTGTTCAAAGCTCAAATCGCTTGTGGGGCTACCGAGAGTTACAGAATTAGTTACAGTCCATTCTGAATCCTTGGAAAAAATAACATTTCAAACAATTTCGTGCATCCCGGAGAGGTTTATGCATGGTTACAACTTTAAACTTTCTGAGATTGAGTACTGGTATAAGTTAGAACCCATTGAAAGAGTTGATGTAGAAATGATCAAACTTTTGGGATTGTGCAACTTGGAATCCATGAAAGCCATCAGGATGTTCATCCCAGATATGCTATATCGTTATGGCATGATCCGTCCCCTTGAGGTGCTTCTCTCTCTCTCTCTCACTCTCACAAGAATGCTATATGTAACCCCAATTGTTTTTCCAAATTTGCATGACATGCTCACACTACTGGTATTTAACGCAATGATGGTTTGTGCATTATCATGTGACATGTAAGCTAGAGAAAGAAAAGTTGGGAAGAACTAAATTTTGGTAAAACAACAACTTCGACTATGGCCTAGCAAGATCAGCTGCCTAATTACTGTTTGCTATCTGTCATAGGGATTGTATGAATATGGTATATTCAGCACATTTCTTCCTGGAAACGAGGTTCCAGGCCGGTTCAGTCATACAAGTAAAGGGTCCTCAATATCTTTTACTTTGCCTTCACTTCCTAATTTCAAGATCCAAGGATTGAATATCTTCTCCGTCTATGCAAATTCTGGTGTGTATGATTTTTCTGGTATGCCTAATCCAGTAATGATCAAAATAAGTAACAAAAGCAAGAATCTTAATTGGATCTATGGCCCCTCCTGCTACGGCATTCCAGATGATGGAAACGACATGACATGGTTAAGCCACTGGAAGTTTGGGAATCGATTAGAATGTGGCGATGAAGTGACTGTTTCAATATTTACAAGTTCTCCATTTCTAGTGAAAGAGTGCGGCATCCAACTTGTGCACGAGCGAGAAGTCGAGATCATGAGCATCCAAGACTACAGCATAGACCCTTGCCATCCCTATGAGGATTTGGAAGAATTTGTTCCAGGAACCTACTTCCTGTGGGGTGGACCCATGGTGAAAGATAAAGGCTATGTTTTTAATTGGCAAAAGGAAGATTGGTTCCGCAGCATCTTTGGAGACTCTAATGAAGAGAATGGTATGTTGTTTAGCAAAGTTGTTCGTACTCACTTTGTCATCCGGCATTGTTCTTGTTAGTGCTTTAAAATACGATATATATCAATCTTAGAGTACGCATGTAAGTCCATATACACTTGCATTTTTGAAGAACTTGCTGTATTGATCTCTTGGACTGTCTGGTATTTGTGTTTTGTCTAGACCAAGAAGAAGGGCAGCAGGTGGGCGATAAGCCGCTTGCGATTGCAGTTGCAGCAGCAGAAGCATTGGTAGAAGCAGAGAGAGCAAGCAATACCGGCGGTCGAAGAGGCTGCAAGATTTTCGTTATATTCACCGCTGTCTTCTTTCTCTTCGTTTCTTTAGTATTCTCTCGCTTTCCTCTCTCTCGGTCATGAAAGACATTTGTTATACTTGACACAATCATCTTTGCCCTCTCTCTGTGCTGTCAAATTACTTTATCTGAATAATTGTAATGGGTGGATTTATAATTTTGACCCATTGTTTAATAAAGAAAACACTAAATTAATGGGTAACTGAAGGTTTCATTTTGATGATGATTCATAAAGTGATGACTCATAAAGTCATTATTTCAAATGTATTTTCTAAATTAATGGGTAACTGAAGGTTTCATTTTATTTAATAAGGAAAACACTAAAATTGAATAATCTACCGTCTTTATGGTATTTATGAAGAATCGGCGAGAAAAGAGATTCATGTATTCATGAATTTTTTTTTTTTTCAAACGATAAATTTTGTTAGTCTCCAATAAAGTTTGAATCCACATCATTATGTAAGAGCCCAATACCTTTCTACCATTCTGGTAAAGGTCACTTCCATGTATTCATGAAATTGGATGAACCCTAAACCCTTTTAAGAGATTAGTCTTACCTAAAATCGGTATTGAGGAAGAGGGAAAGAGCTAAGGATGGGCGGCTGCCATGGCAACCGATAAGAGTTTTGACAAAAATTAAGGATATTTTTTTCATTTTATCCTTATTTAACGGAGATTTTTCAAGAAATAACCAAAATGATTGATGATGAACAAATTTAGAAACCACTTCAATTGATTTCAAATTTTAAAAACCAAAGTGAAGAGATGAAATCTTAAAGATTAGTTTGGCTAAAAAGCCATTGCTAAATAAATACATAGATTATAGACCGATTCTATAAACATGTATTCTCAATGCTGGTAAATTCTTGACCAAAAAAATAATATTAGTAAATTAATATTTTTAATTTTTATGCACATGTAAAATGTAAGTATAGTAAACCTGCAAAATGGCCAGCAAGAATCAATATGAGCTCAAAATATACTCAACTATTAAATTCGCCCCAGTTGAGCTCAAAATTGCTTAGTCACACAACGGGTAAGTCATAAAACTCATCACCTATAAAAGTCAAACATGAGACTTCTTTAAGTAGAGAAAAATATTTTAGACTGTAGTGCTAGTGGCATTTCTCCTATATAAGTTTGATTATTATAAGAAGGTATTTATTAATTTACCCCCTGAACTTGTGAGGATTGGCTCCTCCTCAACTTTAATTTTGGCCAATTTCCTCCCTCAACTCTCATAATAGTCAATTTTCCCCCTGTTGTTAAATTTTTTTAATTTTCCATCTATTCTTCTGTTAAGTATGTCATGTACTATCCATGTGACTGCCTTGAAGGGTAAAAATGTCATTTTATCCAAACATTCTATCTTCTTATTTTTCTCCGAACTTTCTATTTTCTTCCTTTTCTCCGAGCCGAGCTCGTTTTGGTTCCACCGGTACTCCATCGACGCGATTTCTTCCTCCACCTTCATCATCTTCTTCCTCTTCAGAACCCTCTCATTAGTCATCTCCTTCGCTTCCTATTCCGTTGCTAAACCTCCATTCACTTTCCCCTTCGGCCCATCGATTTTTGCCCTTTTCTACGATTTTGACCTTCCACTCTCCCAGCTCCCTTCTCCTTCTCACTCTCCCTAGTCTCCTTGCCCACCCACATTGCCCAGCCTCTCTTCTCTAGCTCGTTCGCTTCATTTTTGCCCCAGGAGGCTCCGATTCGACAGACGGCAATTCCCTTGCCCGGGCTAAGCTTCCAGTGGGTTTCCTGATGTTTTTGGGCGCAGCGGCACTGTTGGGGTTTGTTGTAGTGGCGTCGGTGTGTTGGGGGTTTGGGGATGGGTTTCGGCGATTATGGAGAGTGAGATTTAGGGGTTTTGTGATGGGTTTGCTTTATGGTCTGTATTAGGTGTATAATTGCAGGTGGGTTTTGGAGTTTCATTATTCAAGTCAGTTTTTTTGCTACTTTTATACAAAATTGAAATGGAAGGGTTTCATGGGAGGGTTAGCAGGCATCGCCATCGGTTGGCTATGATTTGAAATGTTTCATGGGAGGGCTTATTGGTGCCATGGAGCCATGGATTGTAAGCGGTGTCGAAGGTCATTGCCACGCTAAAGAACTAAGGTGCTTCTCTCTTTTTGTTCAATTTCTTTTATGGTGAAGAGGTGCTTCTCTAACAGAGAAGAATCTAGGTGGGAGTAGAAAACATGGATGGAGAAAGGAAGAAGATAGAAGGTGTAGAGAAAATGACATTTTTGCCCTTAAAAGGCGGTCACGTGGATAACACGTGATATACTTGACGAAATCATAGATAGAAAATTCAGAAAAGAAATTGACTAATTATGAGAGTTGAGGGGGGAAATTGGCTAATCTTTACAAGTTTAGAGGGTAGATCAATGAATACCTCTATTATACAAGCACAAAAAATCCAACTCATTTGAAATGCCTTATGCATGAGAAATTTTTTCATGTTCTGGGTTCATTAGCTGACCTGGAGTTCCACCGACCATAACTTGACACCTATTCACCAACTCATTTATCTTACTTTTTTCTTTCTTCCCCTATTTTCACATGTTGGGCCTCAGAAACCCTAATTTGCGCCTTGATGATCCATTACCCATCCAAAGCTTCCTTTCATCTCACAAGGGGAAGAAGATTTTCCAAATGCATCTGGCGAGTCACAATTTATGTCAAGACATTAATTTCTTGGAGCAGAAGGCTCCACAACCAAGTCACACAATGCATCAATAATTGACAACGAGACCTTATAATGCATTAACAGAGAAAAGTTACCCGCAAGTTAGTCACGTAATGCATCAATAATTGGCAATCATTAACAATTTTACAAGCAATCATTAACAATTTTACAAAGCATATGAGCGACGGTTGCTAGCACAATTCTATTTACCCAACTCTTTTTTATCAAGGGAAAAGTGAATTGCTCAACTGTAATTGTGTGATACAAAAATATTAAATCAGCCATTACACCACGGAGTGAGTTTGAGTTCCGTCAATTTCTTAATCTGATACTTAATTTAACAAATTTATCGTTTGACAATAAAAAAAAAATAAAAAATCATCAGCCACTTTATCACGTGCCGTTCCCTCCCCATCATGCCCGCCATGCTTTGTTTAGAGTGAGAGCATTGGTAGGTGGTCCTAATTAAAATCACCCACCGGCCCACCCCAAATTCATTTATTAATCAATAATCCCCCTCACAAAAATTAATACATTTTATTTTGATTAATTAAATATCCAAAATAGTAATGGAAATTAATTTCAACTTTTTCTTTGCCTCAAAAACAAAAACTTCCCATAGTTTATGGTCAAATTTCCACACGACCCATCAACTGAGAGACCGCCACGTGTTTCACACGTCAGCAAACTCGAAACTCGTCGCGGTGATGATAGGACTGCTGCTGATGCGGACGGTGTTGCTGTGGTTGCTCTTGCGGTGCCTGCTGCTAGGAAGCCTCCTTCTGGCGACGAAGCTCCAGAACCTTCCGGTGCGAGTTCGAGTGCTGAGTCAGCACGAAGGTCGGACTCGCCGCCGGCCGGTACTCGGGCACGAGCCGACCCGACTTGTACCGGACCCCGCACGCGTTGCAGAGCGTCTTGGGGCCCATCGGTCCTGCCCGCCACTGCGGCGTCTTCTCCGAGGCGCAGTGCGTGCACCTGAGCAGTGAAGGGGACGCTTCCGACGGCTCTCTCCTAGGCCTGTTGGGCCTCGCGGGAGAGTTTTGGGGGTCAGGCGGGCCGGCCCATTTGGAGAGTTTGGTGCGGACCCGACTGGGAAACATGAACGACGCTTCGTTTTGGAAGGATGCGGAACCGGCTAGGTCGGTGGCGGGGACGTCGGTAAAGGAGTCGTCGATGAAGCGCGATAGCCACTCCAGTTCCGCCACGTCATCACTCTACAGCAACCCAGAAACAAAACCAGAATTAGAAAACGTCATAAAAATATGAAAATGGGGAAATTGAATGGAGAAAGGGTAATGTGGGAATTACGGGGACACAGAGGTTGTTGGTGAAGTCGGTGTAGGTGGTGGCGGGGGCGAAAAGGGAGGTGGTGATGGTGCCGTGGAGGTGGTCAGGTGGCGGCGGATGGTGGTGGAGGTCCATGGAGTCGGTGGAGGAAGCAGTGGAGGGTGAGAAAAGGGCGTCGTTTGACAAATCCAGAAGGTCGTCGACGGGGAAGAAGTCTTCCATTTTTATTCTTTTATTTATTATTTCGCTTTGCAGTTCTACAGAGAGAGAGCGAGTGAGAGGGCAGTGACTCAGTGAAACCGAGGAAAGTGAGTGAGTTAAGAGAAATGGGGTTTGGGTGTGAGTTGCTTCTCTCTGGCTCTCTCAGGCTCAGCTCTCTTTCTGTAGAGAGAGAGAGAGAGAGGGAGAGAGAGAGGGAGGAGGGTGGGGGTTGATATAATGATGGAGGAGGGAGCAGAGGAACGTGAGGAGAGAGAGTGGCGAGTGTTTTTAATTGGGGCTCTGGCTTTTTTTCTGTGCAGAGAGAGAGAGGGGCAGAGAGAGCACATTAGTGCTGCACAGTACGCCAGTACGCTTCTACAACCCTCCAAAACCCCCAGTATGGATAAATAAATTAACAAGTATTTTTTTTGTTTTTGTTTTTTTTTAAATTTGTTAAATTAGATGTTAAATTAAAAAATTAACAATGTTTGAATCACTCTGTAGTGCAAAAATAATGTTCATCTGGTAGAGTATCACTTGCAAATAAATTAACAAATAAATTGTCATTTATATTTTATTTTTCATTTGTGATGATGCTACTCATGCAATCCTGGACAGGTGGCTACTCATGCAACATAGGTACAAAACTGCCCATCAGTTGTACAGTATTATAAACCTAGGATAGAGCCTAGAGGGTACCAATGGAGACATCTCCAAAACGATCAATAATATAATGTTATGTTTTCTAGAGTCGGATTCGGGACTCTTATAACTTTAGGGGGCGTTTGTTGCGCCGGACTATCTCGGACTGTATTAGCTTCAAGGACTAAGCTGGACTGGCTTAGACTAGACTAAACTGGACTAACTTAGTGAAGCGTTTGGTGCAGTATTGGACTAAGAAGCTGGATAATAACAAATTATAATATTATATTATTTAATATATAAATTATTAATATTTTATTATGATCTTATCTTTTTCTTCATTTTTTCCTACCATTTCCTTGTTAAATTGGATGAAGTTAGCTTCGCCAAAAAATTCATCATCATCGCTGGACCGAGATCTTAGCTTTGAATGCTCGAATCTGTCATGGATTTGAAGAAGCCCAAACAGGCCAAGACTTCCAGGCCATTTTCCAACCACAATCGACCACATTTTGGCCTCAATTCAGGTCAAATCGTAATCTTGTCACTCCCAGCTTCAATTTGGTATATTTTGTATGAAAGTTGGTTGTGAAATGGATTTGAAAGAGAGTCGGAAAGTTAATGATTGATCTAGGTGACCGGAGATGAAGAGGAGTTTGTCGAGAGTGGTCGTTGAGCATGACGAGGACGAGAAAGAGAGGATAGTCTTAGCTAGTCCCATGGTTATTGGGGGGTCTCGCTAAGACCTCTTAGTGAAGGGTTTTGTCCATGCTAGTCCCCTTTAGTCTCATTAATGTTAGTCCCAGCATGGAACAAACACAGTATTGGACTAATAGCTAGTCCAGTCTAGTCCAGTCCAACTTAGTGAGGGCAAACAAACGCCCCCTTATAGGATTCCGCGCACATCACAAATTCTTTAAAATTTTTTCATTGAGGCATTTAGTCTAGTACTCAATGAAAATGTCGTTATGCCCAGATATGTCGACAGCTTCCAAGGCCTAATGTCAAAGGCCTGTATAGCATCACTTGCCAAGCCCTGCCGAAGAAGCACTTACTAGAGTAGTTTGTGTACATAGGTCCCATACCAAATGACCATTGGGTCTTCTAGTGATTGTCCCCTTATATTTCCTGACTTCCACATATAGGGTCCCGGGACTCAGGAGACCCCTTTGGATCTGCCCCTAATGTTTCTTCCATTTTTAATTTTAAATATGTCGTTGTATGATAAATTTTATGCTAAGAGAAACTTATAATGACACTGACGCTATTGTTTGTACTTAAAAAAAAGAAAAATTATACATTACACCATACCATTTCAAAATAACGTTGAATCCATGTCAGAAGTCCTCTTACTAATGACATCTTCAATGTATTTCGTTGCATATGCACGAACACCGATAGTTCCTTCAATGTTGGGTATGGTCATTTTGACTTTGTATTTTACAAGAAAACGTTAATTTTTTTTTCGTTCAAAAAAAAAAAATTAACGTTTTCTTGTAAAATACAAAGTGATCAACTTATAAGTTAGCACAAATTAACCTTACTTTAGTGCTTAATTTGCACTTTGAGTGACCCCACGTTGGAGATTTCAAATTTTATATATCCATTCGCATCTCAAAAGATAAATATAGAGCGTGGCATTAGCACAATAGTCAAGTTGAAGTCGTATGAAGAGCGTTTTGATTTTATTAAAATTTATTCTTTGAGGTTGTAACGTACGTTACTTGATGAAAGCAGTGTGCTTTGTTGGGATATTTCCTTTTTCTTGAACCAAATGACAGTTTTGCATAACTTATGCAGTTATACTATAGTCAGTACATTTGTCATGGACTGAAGTTTCTTAATTTCGGATGTAACTAAAATGATATGAATTGAGACTTTCCATTAATTCGCTTATCTGATTTGACACATTCTAGTAACCCATTCAATTAATCCAAAATTGTTCGTGTTGTTGCACGTGGTGTATTGCACTGGTGAATATGACATTTATTTTCAGCCGCTATGTCTCGAGATTGATTTGACGAAGATCCTGAACTTGAAGGCCTATGGTTCTATTTATAGTGGAGAAGGAACAACCTCAACCTCATTGTTGAGCTGGAGCAGAGGTAGATCAAACATTTGGCGTTGACAATGATTGTAATTCTTGGTAGGTAGCCTTCAGTTGTGTCAAGTGGCGTTTCACACGATTACTGCAACAACATCAGCCTGTTGGATTACACATTCATAGGCATATAAGAAGGCGAGATATTTTGGATTTTGGTCCTCTATGTGGCAGACGCGCTTCAGAGAGAACTTTGTCCGAGCCCTTGGACAGGTTGGAGTGATGCGAGGTGGTGGTTTGAGCCCCATGATGAGATCCTAAACTAATCTTTGAAGTTGCTAGGCTGAAGTCGTGCGATTTTGTGCAAATAAAGATGTGTTGGTCCGACAGCAGACATTATTTTTACTTATGGCCCAAACATGTTATAGATGCATGCGAGTTCATACTGACTACAATATCATTGTTTGATAGTTAACCACTCTTTCACCATTCTCCTACGTGTATGTGAATTTGATCATGGTTTAAGATTATGGACGAGTAATGTTAGGGAGACCAAAATTTTAAACCAAATTTGTAAATCATGTCATCAATAGAAAATAAGCACGTTAATTAGCATTTAAGAAATAATCCATTTATATCCACATCATTAGTTTACAAAATTAATTTAAAATTTTGATTTCTCTAGCTTTATCCGTTCTGAACACATCTATATTTCACATACAGTAAGGATTAACAATTACCAATGTGATTAGTTTGTAAATGTAATCTAAATTCTAAAGAACTACAAATTAACACATACGAAGCAACTTTTTCATTTTGGCACATAATCATAAGTAAGCAAACGTGGAGTGTTTTTTTTTACGTCCATTTTATTATTAGCTAGACCATCTCATCTTCAATATGATGTTCAAATCCTCAGATTTGGGTTCAAAAGTGGTGGAAATAACGACTTATAATTTATTTTTGCTTCGAAGCGCATTATTGAATTCTTAGTTAAACTCAAACTCAAACTCATATATGAATTCTAAGTTACATTAATTTAGACCCAGATATGAGTTCTAAGTTATGTTTAGTCCCAGATATGAGTTTTAAGTTATATTCAAATCCATATATATATGAACTTCAATTATGAATAGAAATAGAATTATAGTTTTGGAGTTTGGTTGTGTATTTCAGAAGCCCTAACTTATATTTCAACCAAACACTTAAGGGTTAGGTCTTGCCACTGCCATTGCCTTAAAGCATGTCCACCCGTGGAGAGTAAAGGCTATTAAATTGCCCAAAAGCCAAAATAACTACTCCACCGTCACGTAATGAGGAGGGCAAAAGGTGGGCCACACGAAGCTTGACCAAAAGGAAAGGGATCCTCTCCGGATCCCTTCCTTCTAATTTATCATGTTCGGAGATTCGAGTTGTTGAAATTTAATTCAACGGCTACAAATAAGGGTTCATTTGAAAAGTTATAATAACTTTAGCTATTAGATCAAATTTCAACGATTTGGATTGTTAGAATTCCTCTATCCCACATCGGCCAGAAGGCTTGAGAACAAGCCCCTTAAATAGAATTACCACACTCTAACTAATACCGAGGCCTTTTGTATTAAAACCCCATACCTGACGGATTAAGCAGGTGGTCAAGTAGGGACAATATTGGTGTTGTTGGAGTGGGCCCATGGCCCGTCTACCTGAAATTTAAGATGGTATCAGAGCTAAGTGACGGGCTCGTATTGCAACGTGAATGGGTGGGACCCCTTTGACCCCACAAGAATGGGTGAACCCCGACTTGGCTCCACATAGGCTGAGAGATGCCACGTGAATGGGTGGATCCCCATTGGCTCCACATAGGCCGAGAGATGCCACGTGAACGGGTGGGTCCCTATTGGCCCTACGCGAACAGGTGAGCCCCGGCTTGGCTCCACGTGGTTGCCGATCTGTGGAACTTCACGTGTGACCCATAAAATGGGGTCTTTTACGTGTGGGGGAGTGTTAGAATTCCTCTATCCCACATCCACCAAAAGGCTTGAGAACAAGCCCTTTAAATAGAATTACCCCACTCTAACTAATACAGAGGCATTTTGTATTAAAACCCCACACCTAACAGATTGAGCAGGTGGTCAAGTGGGGATAGTATCGATGTTGTTGGAGTGGGCCCATAACCCGTCTACCTGAAATTTAAGACGGATCTCTAGATTTGGTGGATTAGGAGGAAGGGATTCGGAAATGATCCCTTTCTCGACCAAAAGCTAGGTCAAGATTTACCAGCCTCTATGCCTGCTGACTGGGCTAACATTAGCCAACAGAAACTATGGTCCTAGGGGCTACTGCAACAGCTTCAATACAAGAGCCCAACAACTTTATGACGTGGCACGATGACAATCGTTTGATTACTAGCAATTAGGACAAGTGACACGATGTGAATGGTCGATAATATTATATAAAAAAATGAGCGAATATGATGAATAGATAATGACACATTGCACAATGAGAGTGATTGAAAATCTCATCGATAATCTAAGGCGATAATAACA